CCTACACTGGATTTTCAATAAATGTGTTATTGCAGAAGCTTGGTTTTGAAAATGAAACATTATTAAATAATAATAATAAAAAAATAATAAATAAAACTATTGCATTTGGCTCATGGTCTGATATTGAGTAACTAAATAATGCATAGAGTTTAATATGTGTATCATTTTGTCGCAAATAATCATGCTTCATATTTCTGGAGAAATTTTATAGAAATCTATAACATTCTCTTTAGAAGCTATATAGAAATTCTATAGAAAATTCTATAGACATCTATAACATTTGCTTTAGAAGTTGTCTAGGAATTCTATAGAATATCTGTTTGGAAATGTATAACAGATGCATAAGTTACAGTATCAATTAGCATGCTCACATTTTAAGTTAAAATGTTAAAAACATAAAGCGTTTAAGCATTAAACATTTAAGTTAAATTAAACATTTAATTAAATGTTAAAAACAGCAAATAATTAGCCATATAACACATTTCAAAATTAAAATGAAAATTGAATTTAATGCACATATCTGTAACAAATACTTAATCTTACAAAATCCTTAACCACAAACCACCATTGTGACCATTTTAAAGTTACTGTTGTGTAACTTAAACCCAATTAATCATTCAAGATGGGAGAAATAAACATGTTTTCAATAACCAGGCAATGGATCAGGCCGTGATAGAAATCCAATTTATGAGTTGATTTGTACGATGTAGTAAATTATTTAGTGTATGAAATGAAATGCTATAAAATTTATACTGTCTTACACAAAACAAATGATTAATTACAGAAGGTTTCATACAAATACATTTAATAAGAATTATAACTGGTCTTAAATTGTTTCCCCTCCCCTCTATTAAACATGGTACATTCCACAACTGGGTGGTAAAATTTGAAAGCTAACGGAACGGTCTTCATCGACATCTCTCTCACTCGCTGCTCCCTTTGTTGTTGTGGTGTTCTCCTTTTGTTCAGTAATAATTGGAGTAATAATCGCAAACTGATATTTTATTGAAATGGTTAATACCTGTAGCAATGTCATGTACTAGTTAAATGGATTGAATAAGGATTTTGGACGTTCTTCTGCTAAAACTCAGCCTAGCCTAGGATAGCCGTAGGCCTAGGCCAATTATTATATTGCCATTGGAAAAAAAGGAGAAGAGTCCGCACCATGCCAAGGTCTATGCACAGTCAGTATTGTGGTAAGTAAAGAAAAAATAATCTCCTTTCGTCCATAAATGTACGCCTTCCACATATATACGCCTAGTTACTTATTCAAGTTTAGTTCAGTCAGTTCGTCAGTCAGTGCAGTGGCAGTGTTTCTGTTGGTATACTGTACTGTTTAGGCCAGGCCCTAGGCTAAACCTAAGAATTGAGTAAAAAAAAGTGCAACAGGTCAGGCGTTGGTTTTTTTGCCTACCTAGGCCTTGCCTAGGCTTAGGCCTCTTCCTTAACCTAGCTAGGGCCTACAGTACACAGTACCTAGCATAGTATAAGCCCTAGACTAGGCCTAAGTCCTACCCAAGGCAGGAAATTCGAAAAAAAATATGCATTTTTTCTTTAAATATCATTTATTTATTGTATTTTGTGTCAACCAAAAATATTGAGACTTGTTTTTTGCACAGTTCAATATACTTCACTCTTTTTTAAAATGAACACTTGTTAACTGTCAACTGTCTGACCTCAATAATATATAATATTAATAATTGGTATTTTAAATTCGACACCCACACAAGTCATGCCCAAAAACATCAATAGCTGGAACTTTTTAATATACTCATATTCTACACATAGGAAGATTTCAATTATGCTATAATTAAAGTTTGAAATATTTCAAGCATAATTATATTTTTGTTGACCAAAAAATATGGTATAATTAACTGGGGGGTGAATATTTTCCATGGATGTCCATTGACAGTCAAATACTAATAGCATGCGCAAATGTGGGAGGAAAGTTTACTAAAAATACAGGTAGTAAATAATTATCTATCTTCCAATAGATTGACATTGGCCATGGTTTACTTATAGAAAAGGATCCATGATAGGGAAGAAAAGCAACGCACATGTGGAACATCGGTAGAGAAAGAGCATTTGAATCCCATCTGAATTACTGCCATAACAGATAGGTAATTTTTAAATAAGTTTGTGTTTTACCTTTTAAATGAAGATACTGCAGGCTTATGTAATGTAATAAGGGATTTATATTTCAAAAGATAAATGGTACATCAACATGTAAAGCTTTTTTATTTGGGTTAGATTAGATTGATTTTTTTTCTTTAAATTTTAATCTGAAAGTTTGCATTGTCACTTTGTAACTAATTAATAACCATCAAAAGGGAGCCCGTCTTTATTACTGACTTAACCTACACAGTAGCTACATCTTACTGTATATGTTCTGCATAGCACTTGAAGGAAGAAACTTTAATATTAGACAGTTAATGAAGAAAATATTTTGCTACAAGTGGAATACTTATATTAAAATTATATTTAGATTTTGTAAAAGATAACAAATATGAAATAATACTTTTATTGGACCACTACTTTTAAGGTATCTGCATTTTATTTTTTAGAGATTACCATTAACTAATTTTAGACATTGCACCGAAATTATTAAAATTCATCCTGCTCTTGTTGGTTGCCCGTTTATGAGTTTTCAATTTAGAAGCCTATAAGAGTACAATATTCAAATTTTTTGCATTTTTTTTACCCCCAGATTTCACTGATAAGAAGTATCCTGAGGCATCAACCACTCTTTTGAGGCAGTCTCTGTCAAACAGAATAAAGAAAATTAACAAGCCTAAAAATTGGGAATACCATGTATGCATTTTTGTTTTTAAATTTTGTTATTTAACTTGAATTCCAAACTTCATTATAGTGATATTAGATTTGTGGTAGTATTTTATTATATTTGATGTTTCAGTGTGTAGGCCGTCTTAAAGTTAGGCTCAGAAAAGGTTTTTTTTTTTTTTTTTTATGTTGTAGAACTGATTTTTTTAAAACCCAAAAAGAATATTTGATGAAAAACTTTAAAGCGGTTAATGAGATTCAGATTTTTTAATATTTAAAAACTGGGGGAAAAGAGACATAACCACCCTTTTTCTCCAGTTTTTAAATATTCAAAAATCTGTATCTCTCTCATTAACTGCTTCCAAGTTTTTTTGTCAAATATACTTTGAGCCTTAGAAAGATTAGTTCTACAACATAACAGATTTATGTCCTTTTTCAGAGCTTGGCCTTATTAAATAGAAATGCTACTTCCACATCAATAATTATATCTACCCTTGTCATATTTTCTTAAAACATAACATTTGTTTAAATATTTTTGTCTTGCCATATTATTGTATGTACATAAAATCAATATTTTCTTATTTATATGAGTAGCAATTATTTCAGTACTGTATTTTATTTTGTAGCTCTCTGTTTAGTACCCGAGTATATTTTTTCTTTAAAGTTTAAACTTACATAGAGGCCAATCACAATTGTAAACATAGTGTATTAAAAGTGTACACTTTTTTGCCACCTCAACCCCTTTAAAAAGTGTACATTCATGGAAAATGTTGATTTTGCAATACTGTTCTCTATGGCCTTTTTTTCAATGGGTACATAGATACATAATTAGGTTTAAATAATCCATATTGGCATGTTATTAAATTTATAAAACCAGTTTCAATCAATATTTTAAGCTTTTGTAAATTCCTTTCATTTAATTTTGTACTTAGTACCAGGCCCTTTCCCCCTTAGCATACTGTTTATACATTTGTTGATAATTATGAATGGTCCATACAGTGCAGGGTTATCCACCTTATGTTTTGGAATTTCTTTTTTGAGTCTTTCACATTTATTAAATTCGTGTAAAGTTAAATCTAATACTGTACTGTAATAGTATGTAAAAATATATAAAACTTTTTCTTTCATCTACCCTTATCAATATCACTTACAGTACCTTGATGTTATTTAATATATTTATAATATTTTATATAGGCCTGCAATTTACTGTAAATACAGCTATTATATACTGTAAAATTATTTTTATAAATCTTTATATGTTTGCACAATACCACTAGTGCTACATCGTGTGACTTCATAATGCTAGTAAAATTCAATGCAGTTTTATTCTTTTAAGATATTGAATCCAGTTTTTTTTTTCTACTTTTAGATGATGCAATGCAAACATTATTTTAGTTTGGTTGTTTGACCTGTTATATATATGTTTAATATGTGTTAAATAAAGATCTTGAGGATGGATACATTTTGTTGGGATTTCTGTACAGTGGGTTCAAACATTTCATGTTTCCTGCCATGAACTACCAAAACACATTTGTACATTACAATCATCTTGTAGGCCTATGATTTTTTATTTTTACACTTTTTTTTTTGATTCGTGAAAACAATTTTTTAGTGATCGAACAATATAAAAAAAATTATATCAGCGTTATTTTCAAGAAAAGTGCTGTGAATTTCTATGAAAATTAATTTTATCAGCGTTATTTTTTATAGAAATGCTGTTTTTTTTCCTATAGAAAATATAATATATCAGCATTATTTCTATAGAAATTCTGTACATTTCTATAGAGAATACAGTTTTCCATAGAAAATATA